CCCAGTGTTCTTTCATGATCTTACTCAGATACTCGGCTGCTTGCAGGGCGTGTATCAGCCAGCTTTGAGCTGTAGAAATCGTAATTTTTCTCGCATTCACTGCGTGCCATCTGAAAAATCAAGGCTCTCTCGCCAGGCGCCAGCGAGGAGGTTTTCTTTTCCACGTTCGTAATGATATGACGAACGCATACGCGATGACCACAACCAGGATACAATTCGGAAACTGCGGACAACAGACCCTTTTGTCGGTCCGATAGAAATGCAGGTTTCCAGGGCTCTCCACCAGATCCACCGATGGCTTCTTTCATGTGCTGTACAAACCAGCGCCAGTTCAGACCATCCTCTTGGTCGACCAATCCCAGCCCGAAAACAATTAAGTGGCCATTTAAGTCTTTAGCCGTAGCTAGGAGAAACACACCTCGCTTGTTCATTTCCTTTTTAAGGTGAGTTCCATCCAGACCAATGATACGACGACATGTCTGCAATGCCTTCAAACAGGAACTCGAAAAAAACACGCTCGTTTGAAAACGCCGTTTGAATGTTTTTCAAAGCCATAGTGTGAACCAGGATTCTCTGTCGCCACAACAGACAGATATGACTCCAATTTCTGATAACTTTCTTCCATGTTTCCTTGTAATACATCCGTCAGCTGACGCTTGATCCGGGAAGCGGTCTGACGATTCGATTCAATGTTTTTGCTGAGAAGGAATTCGAGAATAGCTTTACCCTTCACGGATGCCCAGTCGTCGCTGTAGGCCGGAAGCATTTCGCGCTCAACAATTCCGCGGATTGTCGCGAAAGACATATCACGGTTGTGCTGACGCAGACCTGATGTTGCTAGATCACCTTCCACGAATGAATCCCCTTGAAAACCAACGTGGCGGTAGTGGTCGTGAGCTATACACATCTTGGTAACTTTCCATTCGTCTCGAATTCCATACACCGTGATGAAAAATGGACAAGAGGGAGTTGTGCCAGGCGTTAGTTGCTGCTGACCGTTTAACACTTTGCACTCATATCTGGCATTACCCTCCTTCTTCATCTTGCGAAAGCTATTTGTCGCGACACGAATGGAAAACCCAGCTTTACTAGCAAACTCTCGACATCGTTGTAGCAGTACCGCTTTCGTTCCAAATGACTCTGGTGCAAGGTTAATCCCTCGATCGACAACGGATCCATACGTGTCAAGGTCGTTTCGTTCCAGACCCACGTTCAAGTCACTTCGTAGTAACCCCAGGTTTCGGAGAATTGAAACATCCTCCAGCTCAACACAACTAACGCGCAACGATTCGTGACGATCAGGTGTTCTGCTCTTCGACTTTGATGCATTCGATTTCTCGGAAGTAGTGGTGCTAGGTACAGCCACATTCAACGGTGCAGGTGTATCGTCTCGACTCCTTGTGTTACATGACGTTAGCTGGTCTCTTGCAGATAATGGTGACACGTTTGCAGTCTCCGACATTTTGGCTTGGCTAACAGTGCACGTAATCAGTCTTTGCGAGAGCTCAAAAAATGATTAATGAAGGGTCGTGAGCACCTCGTCCTGGCAAGGCGATGGGGTTTAAAAACTAATTGGCCAGGAGAAGTTGCGAAACGGACTGGCTGTAGAACGGTCATGTCTTCTTTTAGCTCGATCAAGTGGACAATGTTTCCTGGGAGTGAGCTCCACTGGAAATACTAGGCAGTACCAACAGTAGCAATAATAAGTATGATCGTACGATTGGGCCTGTGTGGCCTTGTGCGAATCGTACGATATTACTTTTAAGACTTTGATACATGTTCTTAAATTTTAAACGGTCATTCTAAATTTGATTATTTGGTTTTAGCAATGATGCATTATATTTTTGGTGTCAATCTACTTATTTTTGAAAAACGCACCTACTTATTTTTCCATTTTGGACCCAATCTACTTGCTAAAGTTAATTCCTCCGCAACCGCAGTCGACACGCGGGGCCCTTCCGTAGCTTTAGCAAAGTAGTCATTTCCGATTTTACTTCGTCGAAAACACCCACCACTCCACACCCGCAACACGAGCACAAGCGCTCGAGGGTTCGATTAATACCAGCTTACTATTTGCATCCCCAAGAAACATGTCGACGTGCTGAAGAAAAATTTGCAAATACATACCCCACCTACCTCAAGTTTAAGTTATCACGCAGACCGATCGACCGCGTCAACAGGAAGCTCATCATCATCACTACAGCCGCATCCAGTCCGTAATGCAATTGTGAGAAGGTAAAGTGGAAGGCCAAATCATCTGTCGGCGCTGTGCAAGACGGACGTCATCCATCTCTTGTCCAGCACCCAGGAGAAGATCCTCGGTAACATCACTGTGCTCATCAATGTCGCTACGCGTCGTCTCTCGAGATAATGAAGCTCGTGCTACAGACTAAATCGGTGGCTTCGCTTTTTGCCACAATGTACTTCGTGAACCTCGTGAGCAGATTCATCTACGGTATCTTGGCCGACGACACTTTCGTTAGGCGTGCCCCTCAGTATCATCCAAGTGGCGCTGTGTATCTAATTCCGTAACACTGGACGTGTCATGGAAGTGCACGACGTTGTCGTCATGGCGACCCGGTGGCGGTCGTGGGTATCCCCGTTAGTGTAGTCAAGCCGCCAGTCTACGAGGCCGAGCAGTCTCCAGTCTGAAGTAAGGAGGGTACTACAGGCATCACCGATTATGATTGGTATCTAACGCTCTAATCCAAGACTCGAGGATTAAGAGTCATGTCCTTTTTGAGCGCTACCGCCATACACATTGCCGTCCCCGACACAGATAAAAAGATGTCTTCATCATCTCGTCTACTGCTTTAGGCATGTGGCTGTTGTGCGAAAAGTTGTCTCACGCAGAGCTACACGATGCAAAGAGCTCGTTGTTGTCCTCGCTCGTGGGGCCTGGCAAGTACAAAAAGTCCATCGGTCAACCACCTAAATATATTGATTGACGAACATTTAACGGCACTCCAATATGCTTTAAAAGTAAAGCAAAGCCATTGAGCTCGAGGGACGTGAAATAATCAGCGCGTAGATGGCACCATTGACGAAGTGCAACACTGTCGTGTCCTTGGACTCGCGTGCCATGTTACAAATATCGGTGTGTGGTTATTGTGACCAACTCGGAGGTGGTTACACTCTCACGATGCAAAGAGCGCAACAGCAACGGTTGTTGTCTTTCCTGGTACAGTTCGATCCAAAAGAGCACGTATTGATTGACGAGCTTAACGCCAATAAAACCTGCTGTTAGTTTAAATATAAAGCAAAAAAAGCATCACTTTTTGCCCCTGCCACGTTTGGCAGCCCTCTTTTTACCTCCCGAGTGACTCCTCTTCTTCTGATCTTTCAGATCGTGACCGGGAATACAGGCAAGCCCACGGCGCGCCGTCTGTCTTAGCTCACAATCCGCCGTTGCTAGAGCCCCCTCTATTGTGTTGGTCTTAGTACATACACAAATGACAGGACGACGCTCCACATCGCCGTCTACAAGTGCCATGGGGAA